GAGAAGTTCGAGAGAACCCGGTTACCGTATCTCAAACTTCTGTGCATACTTATTACTACCCCTGTTCCATATATTCCCTATTATATAATTTTATAATGACACAATCGAAATTTCCGATCATTTACATGCGTTTTAATGAATACATTCATGGTTTCGAAATTTGTATTCTATATGTTTTCGGCAAATCGTGTTATTTCACCTCATACTTATTTTATTTATTACTACAAAATTATCCAATTCGAAATACATGGAATAGGGTGTGTGCACAAATAAATATGCTCAGTATTTTGAGAAACGTAACCGGATTCTCGAACATTTTGGTAATCACGAAATTTTTGGCTATCGATTACGATCCCGAGCAAATTTCGTGTTCTCGACCCAACTCGATATTTAATGATTTAATGGTGCTTAATCCTTTAAGTTTAAAATAAATCTACCGTTCACGCCCCAAACTATTTTGTCCCATATGCAACTTTACGTCCTAATTAGAACAGTTGAGAAATACTATAATAATTGATCCTACGTATCACACAAGTATGGCATTATTCATCAACGTGATAGGAATCGGTAAAATAAGCAATTATTCATACCAAAGTCGATCAGACTGGCATAGAAGCGCAAAGAATTAAATTTGCTATTTTTTTTCGTTATGCAAAATGCACACAATCTAAGTAAATACAGCTAAAACAGAAAATACGTCTGGATCGATCAGATTGCATGGTGCCGTGCAGAAGCGAAATGTTTCCAAGAACGAAACCATCGGCCGTCTATCAAAGCCAAGCCGATTTCCTGTCCCGCATAATCAACGAAGACAGTCTGCTTTCCAATAATTCCTGATAATTCAATGATCCTGGCGAGTTCAATACCTCCGACCGCCTCTGTTCTCCATCAGGGAATAAATCATGCTACCGGCTGACTTTATCGCTTTGACGAAGGCTGTGCGCCCAGCTAATCGTCCGGTCAGCCTCGAATCAGAATGGAGAACCTGCGACCGGCCGACCGGACAGGAGGACACCGTGAGCGTACAAGCGACAATGAAGGGGTCGACGTGTTTTATTGCACCGCTGATACGCGAAAACGGGGAACCGGGCTGTCGGCGATCGCGAGTTAGTACAATGGCCCTCCACCGTATACCGTAATTAATCATCGCTTCCTCGACGAATCCACGCACTACGTTCCTTAACGTACCCGAACCTGTCTGCGTTTGTTCCGGGCTAGCTACAAGTTCCTGTAGCCAACAATGGGACCAGATTTAATGCGTCTGCTCTCCTGAATATCAATCAACCTGACACTTAATTCTTGCGGACACTGGCTGATCCGAGAGTTAATTGAGAAATTAGTCTCCTCTTCAGACGCACGCTCCGTTTCAGCGTACGAAATTTCTCTTCCACGCGAACTCGTTCCTACGATTAACCCTTAAATGCTATTGTTTTTTTGTTTTGAATTTTAAAAAATCGTTTTTTATAGGAATGTAGTCATAGGTTACGTAAAAAATATATAAAAAAATCTAGGTAAGAATATTGAGTATTTATTTTGAAAAAAAGTTGTATGTAGACTTTTGGCAACAATATGCGTTCATTACTAAAATTATTGTAGACGTAAACAAATGGTCATGTATTTATATTATCTATTAGTATAGGAATTTTCACATTATTTATAAATGAAATGCAGCAAAACAATTGCGATTTTTGTTGTGACACAAAGCGACCTTGCATTTGATGCACTCAGTCGGTGAAAATCCATTGCAACCTGGAAGTTATCACCCACCACATTCAAATGTCAGAAAACATATAACTTACCCGCCAAAAGTAATGTCAAGTCTTTTATTTCACACATGGTCTAATGTCTATTGTTATCAACGTGTGTTCGGAAACGCACATACTCAGGTTTTTGAATAAAATTAAGTGGAACTGGAATGTAGACAATTGGCAACAATATGCATTTAAGGGTTAAGCGTGTGATTTAACCTTGACAGAGCTGATCGTCACGTTGTGTACGACTGAGTGGTCGCTTAACCCTTAAATGCATAGAGTCCCAAAAATGAATCAATAACTTTTTGCACGGATACCCGACAACAGTTTTGATATCGA